AAACTCTTGGGCTTAAGTGATTCTCTTGCCTCAGCCTCCCAAGTAGCTGAGACTATAGGCGTCCACCACAACGCCTGGCTATTTGTTGTTGTAGTTGTCATTGTTGCTTAGCAGGCCCAGGCTGGGTTTGAATCTACCAGCCCTGGTATATATGGCTGGCTCCCTAACCATTGAGCTATGGGTGCTGAGCCAATAAACACTTTTTAATATGTTGAATATGTTATCTTTTCCTTTACCAGTTTCACTCCTGTATCTTTGACTCCTCTAAAGAGAGGAATACATGAGGACTGGGCTCCAGGCTCTTAAAGGCCTTTCTGGTCCCTCACTCTGCAGGTCCTGGGACAGCAGTCAGGGAATATCGCCTTCACACCAGGAAAGAAGCTATTGGCCGTGTGTTCTTTTTTTTTTTTTTTTGGAGTTTTTGGCTGCGGTTGGGTTTGAGCCCGTCTCCTCTGGCACCTCTGGCCAGCCCCTTACTCCTTTGAGCCATAGGCGCCACCTATGGCCATGTGTTCTTAACCAGGGCTAGACTTCTGAAACAAATTTTGCATTGGGCAGAGCCTTTTGGAAACACACATTCCTAAGCCCTGAACCTACAGACACATTCAGGAAATAATGGGGTAGAATCTAAGAGTCTGTATTTCTTAAGCTCTCCACATAATTCTGAGGTTTGTCCTGGCAAAGGCTTATTGTGCACTACACAAGTGTGTGAGCACATTTATTCACTTACTGATGTGTGTGTTTAATGAATATGTGTAGCACCACTGTGTGCCAGGCAAGGGATTGCTGATGCTGGGGCTCTAGCATAGAAGAACAAAGGCAGACCCCTTGCCTGTGGAGTGTACTTGTATCTGCATGCAACAGACACATACATGCACTCGTGCATATGCGGACTGTCCATGCCACTGGAACGCCGTCAATAGCAGAGTTAAGGAAAGCAATGTGATGATTTGTTCCAGAAGAGGTAGGTACTCTTGTGCTCTCTCTGCAGATCCTCAGCACTCTTGTGAAAGGGACATGCAGACCTGTGACCTGCAAAATTCGCATTCTGCCCTCGGTAAGGATAGTGTGTTACATTTGAAGGTCCATTCACTCTGATGATGTCAGATGTGGGGGCATGAATTCTCAAGGTACCAAATTAGGTTTGGAGGCAGGGGTGGAATTGAGCCTACCTTAGAATTTGGAAGCTGTTCTGGGCGTCAGTAACCACAGTAGGTGGTCTTCTTCTCCAGCTAGAAGATACCCTGAACCTTGTCAAGCGGATAGAGAGGACCGGTATTGCTGCCATTGCAGTTCATGGGAGGTGAGTGGTCACCTTTCTAGTGACTGACTGGGAGGGAGGTCCTCAGCCATCATAATGATTTTTCACCAACATCAGATGACAACAACTTCTCTTCTGCAAATTCAGCCTCTATCTGCCTTGCTCTTTAGATATCCAATCAATCCTGAGGGCACCCAAAGCCTGAATAGGTCACATTTTTCTTTGTGTCATTCATTGA